CGTGTTGCGGATAATTGCAAAAACCAGGCACAAACCGTCAAAAAATGACAAAAGTTGCCCGTGGATCTGATAGACCTTTAAGATAATGTTCTGCCGTACACGATTTAAAACCCCGACTTCTAGTTGTGGAGCACATGAGGCGGGCTGTATAATAATTAATATGTAGGAATTCGAAGAATCTGAAGATGGGATGAAGGTGAGAAGGCCGGTTCCCCTTCGAACAATTTCTTGGCAAAAGAGGCTATGCTCTAGATAAATGTCATAGAAGAAAGGGATTTTGTCAAATAAAGAAAAAAAAAACAAACCTACGCAGTTATACGAATAATCAAGATCTGCGACTTCATCAAGTTGTTCTATAACAACAATTAGATTAGCAACATTTTGAAACAGAGCTAAAAATTTTGTTGAATTGTCTTTTGAGCTTTCTCAAAACTGTCTGAACCAGTAGCATTTTATCATTAGTGAATTCATTTGCTTGTTTTCGTAAAGTAGTTTATCGCTTCCTCAACAATTTCTAAGTTTCCACCATGAAGAGGAGGGAGTGGAGCTGCACACACTCCCACATCTTCGACAGAGCAACGGTAATGGACACTCTAGCACAGTGACAGCATCGTGTAAGTATGGCCTGGATTGTCAAAACGTATTTTGTCAAATTTTACTTTTCTGTGTCTAGATTTTGCGAAATTCAGTTGAATTTCGCCGCTGATAACCTATTTTCGTATTTCGATGACATTCTAAAAATTATGCTTGAATCAGCTTCAATTTGCGGTATTGTTCTGTCATTTAAGCCGATTAAGTGACTGGTACCAGAGGCAACAAAACTTTAGGGCAACTGATGAGAAGATCCCACAAGGGTCAACAACTACCGGTCCCGCCTATGGTCAGATTCTTCGGGCCTGAATCACATGCATCCACTTAGTACCGAATGTCTGTTCAATGTGTAGACCATTTCTTCAGATGCCAAGTTGTCGTTCACTTTCTCGCAAGCATTACTTACTAATGTGTGACACCTACCGGCTGCTAACGAGGCGAACAACATACTCTGTCCATCGGATTTTACTTTCTCACGCGCTCACAGTAATGTCTTGAACCCCGCCCATCTGGTGAGATTTTTTATCGTACATAATCAAGAAGAAACACCCCTCGCTCAGTCGCTCTCGTTCTTCCACAGCCAGCGCTCGCTCTTCCACTTTCGTTGACAACAAGTTT